GGGTAGGCATGTATTAGCCTTGGCTTGCTTCTCCTTTTATTCGTAATTTATTGATTTTTATTTGTAAAATAGTGTTTCATCTTGTTTTCTTTTTCTTTTAAGGTTATAAATTTACCAAAATCAACCTAAATCTAAAATTAAATAAACTATTAAATCCAATTAGGGGTCTGCACAAGAAACATTATCTCTGTTTGATGAATTGATGAGAACAAACTGATCAATAATTCTGGCTTTTTCTAATATCTTTTTGAAGAAACACTTTCAACCTTTTGTTGGTCCCAGGATAAAAGGATAAAATTGTTGACACCTGGTTTGACACCTTCATAAAGAATCACGAGACAGAAACCTGATCCCTCCTGGTATATTTAGAACCTGCTGGTTGCATGACCTCATCTGCTCACATACTGTAGCTTTAATATTGTTGGCTTTAGTCAAAGAGCTGCTCAAACTGCCTAACCCAACACACTTTATATTTTAGTCCTGCACAAATAGAAACCATCTTGATGTTTTTGTGTTCAGAAAGTGTRTTTTAACTTTTGCAATTTTTTAAAACGTCTTTATTTAATCAGGACAGAATGCTATTAAAACATAACCAAAAAACATACGATGCATCGCATCAGATTTAGCCCTAGGCTAATTTACATCTGTAGTCCCTCCAGACAATAAAAACAAATATCAACAATAAATAATAAAACATCTAACTGTAATTATACTGTGAAAACAAAAAAAAAAAAAACTCATTGTTTTGCAATTAAGAAAACATGCCCACCCCACTCCCCAACACACATTATTATAAGTAAACTGTCTGATCGATCACCTCGTGTCATTTAGTGATTGCAATATTGAGTAGATTTGAGATATTTTCGAGGATTATTTCTAAAACTAATAAAAGAGCTGCAGGTTTTTCCATGTTCAGGAGCAGCGATGGCTCTGACTGAAGACGCTGCTTGTCTGACGGCTGAGGGTCGAGCAGGAAGTTCACAGTTCTGCCATGGAAGCTCTGGCGGAGCACAGATTTCTGAAATATGTTGCTCGTAGTGGATAATTCATGTAAAGAATGTAATCCCTGGGATTATCATCATATATCACCCCCCTGTCTGCTCTGACTCATACCTGTAGTGAGTCCAGGTAAACTGGTAACTGGATTAAAAGCAGAGAATGGGGCTGTTTTCTTTGAACCAGGAGCAGGTGGAGCTGATCTGGACTCAGGGTGGATTAGCAGATCATCCTCATCAGAAACAAGTGGACTGAGGATAATCACAGATGTGGTCAATGGGGCTTTTATTTTGGTGGCTTTTAAAGCCCTCTTCACAACAATGCATCTAATGAAACCTTAATGGTTTGTAGATGAGTTCAGGCCCTGCAGCGATGTCCAGAACAGAACCAGAACTGTTTTTATTACAGTACTGTCTGATTGTAGCTGTTTTAGATTATTCCTCTAAGTTAGGTTGTTATTTTTTTAATTTATTTTTTTAATGAAAGCTAAAACAACAAATTTATTTACTGTTTGGAGGTGAAGGTATATTAGTAGTGGTGAATGTTTCTGCTCTCAGGGGTACCAGGGGATGGTGGACGGTGGAGACAACATCAAAGAGGCGACGTGGGAAAGTGTCTCCAGCATGCTGCAAGTGGTGAGCACAACAACATGCTTAGATTTCAGGTCACACACCACGTTTCCAGCTAAACAATGACACTCTTATGTGGCCTTAAACTGTGACACAAATGAAGTTTGCATTAATGAAGCTGGTTCTTTGTTGAATGTCTAATTATCACTGGAAGTATGGTACCAGGGACAGAGGACTGKCCACTCTGAGGATTATTGAAAGTGACAATCAAACTACTGACTGTGTGATTTGATCTTTCTGCAGCTGTTATGACATTGTTATTGCCTAAATTAGAAACAACTATATTCTACATAAATTCAATAAACCAGCTCCAGAAATAACTGATAAGTAAGCCACTTTTACCAGCATCCTCTAAAATTGAGGTAAAAATACTTTTATTTGTTTATTTACTTGCGTCTGTAAGACTTATGGCTGTTTTCCAAGTGGGCTGTTTCATTTTGGTCAAGTTCAGATCTTCAGCCAATCAAAAGGCCAGGAACATTGGCTGAAAAGACCTTTTTGTGACACTTCACCGACACTGTGAAAACAAGGATCTCTCAGCTTTAAGGTCTTTGTCACATCCTCCCGCTCTGGTAGTATCTAAGATACGAGGGAGAAATGAATGTGAGGGAAGAGTGGGGACTAATAAGTTAAATCACACCACCAGATCCTCTAAACCTATTTGCTTTTTCTTAGTGTCTTAGAAGTTAGAAGAAACCACAGACAGCTCTAGACCAAATTCAAAGATCACGTCAATTTTCTGAAATATGACAGCTGTTCTGTTCCAGTGTTTGTTGGATTCCAACACAATCCCACCTCATTCTAATTAACAAGGTGGTGCTCACTGAACCAAACCTTATTTAACAAGGAAAAGTCTGAAAACCACTGCTGTGGTCAGGACCAGCCAGTGTCTTTTATGCCCGTCCAAAGCCTGGATTAAGGGTGAGGATTGCGTCAGAAAGGGCATCTGGTGTGAAACACTCGCCAAAACAAGCCAAACCTGATTTATGATAAAAACACAGATTTAACAGTGTCATTCCCCGGACATCAGAGCCAAACCTTGTAGGATTTCCATTTCAAGTGTTTGAAATGCAGTAAAATGTTGAGTCCAACAGAAGCAGTGGCTCCTTAAAATGCCAGCGGTTATCACAGATCCTGCACTCAACACCTTCAGATAAAATTTCCACTCAGCAACATGTGAACAGTGAGTCAAATGACCACAGTATTCTCTCTGTATACTTGTTTCCAACAATATAAATAAATAAATAAATAAATAAATAAATAAATAAATAAATAAATAAATAAATAAATAAATAAATAAATAAATCAATCTTTTATTTTATAAAATATAAATAAATAAATAAATAAATAAATAAATAAATAAATAAATAAATAAATAAATAAATAAATCTTCCATAAAAGGTAATTACTTCCACTGTTGATCATGAGGTGTGTGTAACTGTTCTCACACTGCACTCATCTTCTTATTTCCAGGGTGGCACAGTCATCGGAAGCGCTCGCTGCAAAGAGTTTCGAACCCACGAGGGCCGCCTTAGAGCCGCTCACAACCTGGTGCAGCGCGGCATCACCAACCTGTGCGTGATTGGTGGAGACGGCAGTTTGACCGGAGCTAACCTCTTCAGGGAGGAGTGGAGCGGCCTGTTGAACGAGCTCCAGCAGGAAGGTGATTGCTCTAAGCAGAGTTTTTTTATTTATTTTTATTTTTTTATTGATTGAAATTGACTTTACTATATATATATTCTGTCTGGTTTATTCAGGTCTCATAGACAAGGAGGCAGTTCAGAGTCATTCTGAGCTTCACATCGTGGGCATGGTTGGCTCTATTGACAACGACTTTTGTGGCACGGACATGACCATCGGCACCGACTCTGCCCTCCATCGGATCATTGAGGTGGTGGATGCCATCATGACCACTGCTCAGAGGTAATCAAAAACATCAAATCAAATCATAAAGCTTACCGAAATGTGACCAATTTCAAAAAGACAATAACACAAGATGACTTCTGGAAAGATCTGCTTCCACGTGTTTTTGTCTKTTTTTTGTTTCTTCCAGCCACCAGAGGACATTTGTGTTGGAGGTTATGGGCAGACACTGCGGGTAAAAACACGCTGAACATTTACGAATGTTAGACACAAAGTTTGTTTATTATTTATGAATGTAATCTTCTGCAACAACAGAGACTCTTCAAATCTGTGCYGGCAACATAACTTATTACATTATAAATACTTCTATTTAATGTATTTTAGTATTTAGAACACTAAGGTTGAGAAATTTTTTGCAAATAATATGTCTGTGTGTGTTAAGGTACCTGGCTTTAGTTAGTGCACTGGCATGTGGAGCAGACTGGGTCTTTATTCCAGAAATGCCTCCTGAAGATGGATGGGAGGACAACATGTGTCAGAAACTCCATGAGGTATCATGGTTTGTGCCATTACAGTATGTTGATACGGTTCATGCACAAATTTCTTCTGAGTTAAAATTGGAAGTTGCAGAAAGTCGCTCATGCACTAATGTACCAACAATCAATGACTCTGGTGGGACTCAAACCCACAATCTTTGAATACCTTCTTGGTGTTACTAGAAGTCTAATGCGCTRTCCATTGTGCCACAGASACACACGCAAATAACAAAAGTCCTTCAATGACATATGTTGTCTGATGTTCTTTCYATTACAAAAACTTTGAAACCTACAATGTAACAAGGGTGTGGTAACACATGACTCTAGTGGGACTCAAACCAACAATCTYTCAATATGTTCATGAGTATGACTAGAAGACCAATGAGCTATTTGTTGCAATCAACAAATCTGAAGTAGCAAAAACTCCCTGAAGCACTAATGAAGTGTGAGGCAGTATTTTTTAATTTTTAAACCCTGCAACCAACAAATCTTAAGTAGCAGAAAGTCCCTGAAGCACTAATGAAGTGTGAGGAAGAAATGTATGAACAATCAACGACTCTGGTGGGACTTGAACACACAACCTTTGAATACCTTCTGGGTGTTACTAGAAGTCCAATGCGCTGTCCATTGCGCTACAGAGCCACATTTTAGAAAGCAACGTCCATCAGTTACACTTGCTAYWYYAATAGAGMGTATGTATAAATTATATTTTTTTAATTCTTAAAATACCTWAGTAATGGTACTTATTTCTCAACAACTACTCYGATGTTATGTCCCTCACACAACAAGACCCTTCAACCAAWAAACTAAGAGTTGCTGAATGTCSCTGAAGCACTGTGAAGTGAGACTAAGAAATGTACGAACAATCAGCGACTCTGGTGGGACTCGAACCCACAACCTTTGAATACCTTCTGGGTGTTATTAGAAGTCCAATGCGCTATCCATGGCGCTACAGAGCCACATTTTTGAAAGCAAAGTCCATCAGTTACACTTGCTATACCAATAGAGAGTATGTGTAAATGATATTTTTTAATTCTTAAAATACCTTAGTAATGGTACTTATTTCTCAACAACTAGACCGATTTTATGTCCCTCACACAACAAGACCCTTCAACCAACAAACTAAGAGTTGCTGAACTTCCCTGAAGCACTGTGAAGTGAGACTCAGAAATGTACGAACAATCAACGACTCTGGTGGGACTCGAACTTACAACCTTTGAATACCTTCTGGGTGTTACTAGAAGTCCAATGCGCTGTCCATTGCGCTAAAGAGCCACATTTTTGAAAGCAACGTCCATCAGTTACACTTGCTATACGAATAGAGCGTATGTATAAATGATATTTTTTAATTCTTAAAATACCAAAGTAATTGTACTTATTTCTCAACAACTAGTCCAATGTTAT